ACACACACACACACACACACACACACACACACACACACGCTTTTTCTTCCTTCTCAAATAGATAACCCCTATGGCGCGTCCCTGGTACCTTCTGAATAGCACTGGAGTTCAGAGAATAAAAATCCTTATAATGTATGGCTTGTCTTCAGCCAAACATTTAACAACCGCAGGAAGGGGAGGGGTGAGAGGAAGGGGGACTTGCACTAAAAGACCTTTCTTAAAAAAAAAAAAAAAAGTCTGCAAGTCAAAAGGTCATTCTCCAAGTTTGTAAATAAAATTGCAAAGGGAGCCTTTTAACAAGAAAGAAGTGGGGAGGAAGAAAGGTAGAGAGGCCCACAAGTTACATAAAATAATGCGTGGCAGAAACAAGGCAGGGGGATTCTTTTAATCGTGTGTCTTAAGAAGCCAAGTGGGGGGAAAGAACTGGAGAGGGGAACAGGAGAGAGGAAGAGAAAGCGGGAGAGGGAAATAAAAGCTCGAGAAGGCAGGAGAAGTTTGCAAAGAAATGTGTGCTTTGCATCCTACAATAGGAAAATGTAGCCGCTGCCCTGCTGCAGACGAGACATTTCTAATTTGTTCCGTCTGTCAGGAGGGGGACTGTGCGAGGTTTGGGTGTAAATTCATTATCTCTGGCAACGCAGAACGTAGTGTAGGGACTGAAAAAGACCGTGGCAATGGATGAACAATAGGGCTTCAGTTCATCAGTAACAAAAGCAGTGGAGAAATTGGTTGAGTTTCAGAGCACGTCCTCCTCGGCAGAGGGGGCTGGACTAGACCTTGGACAGCCCCCCCAAAAACTTGCCGAGCCTCGCACACACCACTTCACTCTCCACTGCGAGGCTCAGGGAGCAAGTGCCTGGCGTGGGGGGAAAAGTTGGCTTTTTTTTCCTCCTTGATCTTCGGCGCCCTGCTCTCTGTCTTCCCACAAGGGAAGACCCGTTTAAACTATTTTAGACGCAATCAAGCAAGAATCACCATGTGGAATTGAGCGGCAGTTTTAAATGTGCGAAGGAGAGGAATGATCAGAAAAAATTTTTGTTGTTGTTGTTTTTTTTTTTTTTTTTTGGTTTTTGTTTTTGTTTTTTGTTTTTGTTTTTGGAGACGCCAAAAGGAGCCTGTGTGTGTGCTGCAGCCGCTGTGGGACTGGATCTTGTCTCTTCTGGCTGGAGCGCCTCGATTCCTGTGCTGCTGGATTTGGGGGGATACACTGCCTGGCGCTGGGAGATCAAGTGAGTATCTCGGCCGCGGCCCGCAGGGTGCAACTGGGTCGGCGGCGCGGGCCGCACTGCCCGCCGAGCCCGCGCCCGCGCTCTTCGCCTCTCCCGGAGCCCTCGTCCGCAGACCCCACCCGGGCCGCTCCGAGCGCCAGTCCGGGGCTTTGCTACAGCTAATTGATTCTGTGCCTCGGATGCCAAACCTGTTGATCTCGGGAGCTGACCGAGCCTGGACTGTTAATTATCCACCGGCCTGACCCCCCAGTCACAGGAAGAGGCCAGGAAAATTTCTCTTTGGAGAAGGGAATTTTGTATAGCATTTTGTGTTGGTGGTGGTGGGACTTTTCCTTCTTAAATCTACAGCTCAATACGATGGTCTTTTGCGTTCCTGGTTTCTGGATTCGCATTTCGAATAATTCACCTCCTTTAACCTCCCCAAAGTTGCAATTGCGTCCCAAGGAAGCGAGGGTCTGATTAAATCCTGTTGGAAACTTATGTAAGGGCGCTAACCAGAGCTGCTGGGTCTCCACTTCCTTTTTCTCTTTGCCTTTCGGATTTGGAGAGGCCGACGAGAGGCCGCTGTGCAGGGTTATCCCAAGTTTAGCTTCATCTGCGTGCCACCTTCCTGGTCAGTTGCTGGGACTTAACTCCTAGCTCCAGGAGCTGATGGTGTCAGAGCGGAACCTGGGCTTAGCAGTGTGCTCGAGCCCAGACCCGGCTGGGGAAGGAAAGACCTTTCCGTGGCCTGGACGTCACCGCGGAAGCCCAGGGCGCAGGGAACCCGCGCGATGCGCTTGCAGGGGGTCTGCAGCGTTTCCTCTTGCACGTGTACCCGCAGCGTCTGATTGGGAGCTGTCTGAAGGGGTCAGGGCCGCAGTGGCATCGGTCAGAAGTTAGACCGCAGGCCTGTCAAGTCACGGCCACGGCCGGGCCGCTTGGAGCTGTGGCTGCCTCGGGCTCACATGCACTTTCCTCCCTCTCAGTGCCCGCAACTGCCTGCCACGCCGCCCCCCTCCTCCACCTTGGCAGCAGTAATTAGGGCGCTGTCTCAGGACTGAGCTACTGTAGTCAGCTAATTGAGCCCGGGCAGTACTTTCATTTTGCAAAACCAATAGCCCCACCAGCCCATAATAACAATAAGCATAAAAATCATAGAAGAAAAGCAGCCTATTTTCGGGAGGGTAGGACTTCGTGAATATTGGATCGTGGGGGGATGGGGAAAAGGAATAAAAAATCCACCACTTTACAGCAATCAGGTTTTACATTATTCATTGATTTACTGGAGAGGACAGCCAATCAGGAGCCTTAGACATGAATGCACATCTCACCGAGCTGTGGCCTTACAGTAAACTATTTGCATCTTTCTAATGGATTAGACGTTTACCCAGGGATTCCTATTGTTTGAAAGACCTGCAGATCCAGTCTCTTAAACATTTAGAAAATAAGACTTTATTGCTAAAATCCTTACGTGGAAGAACCCCCACTCCTCTTTTGTATGGCAGGTTACAAGGTTCAAATCCCTAACGTTTCTTAAGTCCCTCTCCTTTGCCAGCTAAAAATAAAAGAAAGGGAGAAAGAAAAATTAATTTTCCAAACCCCTCCAGATTCTGCATATTTTGCATTTCTATTATTATGCATGTCTCCATTTAAATGCAAATTAGCATATTTAACCCTGTGGTTGCTGGAGGCCAGGCAATGCTGTACTGGGGTTTGATGGAGTCTCTTAGCATTTTGAGGATTCACAGTAATTGCAATCCTTTAAGTGAAGCCATACGTACATATGATTTTGTGTGTGTATATATATATGTACCTATATATAAACTGTGATCATTTGTTTTCTTGACTTTTTCAGATGAGACTGCACAGAAGCATAAAATGAATAGACTGTCCATCCAACCAAAGGTAATTTTATAATTTACATTTGATGAAATCAAAGTGCTGTGCAATCAAAACAGAGTATTACTTACAGGGTGCTAGGCCTGCAGTGTGTTCTGTATCTTCCAATGCAGTAGATATAATTCCATAAAATTTTAAGTTTCTGTATGTCCAGTATTTTACCTTGTAAGAAGTCTTTGTATATACTATATATCAAGCATAACACCAACATAACCTATAACTGCCTATAAAGAAATTTGAGGTGCAGAAGAGATAGTAGGATACTTTTATTAGAAAGTAAGCTAGTCAAAGTACCTCACCTGAAGTATACAATTGCTATAAATTAAATGGCTTTCTTAAAGAAAATGGTTGTCTTGACTCTGTTAGTGGACTATGGTCAAAATGCATGGGAATCACATGAACTAAATATTAAAAAGGAAATTTGGTGGTAGGCCAATTCTTATGTACTCCGTAGTAGTGTGAATAGGGTTCAGAGGTGTTCTAAATATTAATGGCAAACTGGTGAATTTGAATTTATGGAATTGTGTCTTTCTGAAGCAAATATGTAGAAAATCATAACTTTTCACTTTTAACTTCAGCAGAGCTTGTTATTCCCAAGTAAACCAGGATGTTTCAATTCATGTTTCAGCCATCTGGAGACCTATAAAAAGATTAGAAAACAAGCATGACAATCACGTCCTAATCTACTAGCTATTAATGGGAATTTATTAGGGAATGAGCAGGGAAGCCATTTGAATTCAGTGTGTCCTTCAGTATGCAAATTTTAAGACAGTGTTCTGCAGCTCAGCTAAGTAGCTTTCTGAAAGCAAAAATATGCGATTTAAAAACATGTAGGTGGGAAGGGTTGCTCTTAATGTGGGACAGACACTGGTAGGCACATTTAGGACTGCACAATTGCTTTAACTTGTCTCATACTATGCACAATAACACGGTCCTTAAAAGATATGTATTTGATAAGCTCCAATAGAAACCTTGGCAGTCTTTGAAACATACAGGTGCTTACTGTTAAGCTTTGCTCTGTATGTTTTAATTTTTTCACATCCTGAGAGATGACAGAAAGGTAGAATATTTAATTGGCTGCATGACTAATGAACACACTGCCCATAATCTTCATATTGGTTCATTCCACTCATTGTGCCTCTCTCAATGATAGCGCTGCCAGGTTTGGAGGCCAGTTCTGGAGTGAGTTGATCTATGAGATGTTGCCCTAGAAGATGCTATTTTAAGATAGTGTCTTTAGTTTCTAATTGTAGGAGCATCTCAAATATTCAGTGTGCTAGCTCTTATGATAAGTACCTGAATTCTAAAAATGCATTTAATTGTTGAATGTGGAAATAGAACCATAATAATTTGAAGATTTACACAAATATGGAGCTAATGAACACAGACATATATGCATCACAGCTCTATACTATCAGGATCCCTCTCCCAGCTATATATAAGGGCAAGAGACATTCTAAAAATATCTGGAATTTCTTGGGCTTTGGCTTAAGGAACTGAATACATTTGATCACGTTTGCTTTATGTAATACATGCCAAATCACTCATGGTTCACGTCTAGGTCTTGGTAAGCAAAGGCACAATATTCTGCAGTCCTGTAATACTTCAAAGCTCATTAGAGTTTTATGTAATGTCAAAAATGGCCTGTGCCTCGGTGATGTTCTAAATTTCCCCTCCGATGTTATCCTCAGATAGTTTGATAAAGAACAGTAATTCCATCAGTGTGTTCTCCTGAATCTGTGTGTAGTTTGCATGTGGACTTTATGCATAACCTAAGGCAGCCATTTCTGATCTTCTTGTTCCATAATTTGGTAAGATGCATAGACGGTCACTTTCCATGGCGTAGTCTTTTCTGAATAATCAGTGCCAGAATGCTCATCCCAAAAGTAAATAAATAAAAAAAAAGCCTAAGGGAAAGTTGGTATCTGTACTACTAAACCTTACCCTTCTTTGGTGTGATACTGCTGTTTAAACTCTTCACCGGGGGCTTTTCCTAGCAATTTTGGTTTCCTTTACTTGTCAGTCTTTTCTACAGGGATTACATATGTGTGCTTTGTATGTAGTTAGATAAGCATGTTCATACTCATGTCTTAAATGAATAAATGACTGAATTAGTGACAGAGTGTATGTTAACTCTGAAAGTGTTTTAGTCATTGATTGGGGAAACAGTCACCCTATCGAAATGAGAGTATTGTGATAAACTAGTGATGTGTGCAGTGAATATTAAGACTTACTACAGTCTTCTGTAGCATACATTTTCAAGAATAGTAACATCACTCAACAGAACTTGTAATTTTGAAAAACAGCTCATAAAGTTCACCCACGGTGAATAAACATCCTATTTAGACTGCCTAAGATGTTTTGTTGAGGAACAGCTGAACCTTAGAACTATATATGTTAGAGATACAATAGACATAGAACACCTGCTAGGAAGGAGAGACAGAAAAGGGGGATCCTTGAAGTGCTCACATTTGCACTTTGAGAAAAGTTGGTAGAAAAGGAATGAGATGAATTCATTAATAAAATGTCATTCCACTGGACATAGGAGAAAAATGGGGGTGGGGGAAGGGAACGTGAGAGTAGGGCATGCTCTTAACATCCAGGTGTTTTATCTGTATCTTTCAGGAGGTAACAATACTTTTTTAAGTAGTTTCATAAGACTAGTGCATTTTGTCCTTCTGTATGAAAATAGGTGTTTAAGACATAGACAAAGGCTCAGCATTTTTATTGCAGCAGAGTTGTACCCAACATTAGAAACTATTGCTGCAGCGTTTACCTGTGCTGCATTCTAAAACACACACACACACACACACACACACACACCGTATATATGCAGTTATTTTTTCCAAAAAAAAAAAAACCAGGAAGAAGTACACCTGCTTAGAGCCTGCGGGTTGACCTCCAGAACAAAATATGCTGGCTGCCCTATCGCCATGGTGCATAGGTACAAAACATGACTGCGCTGTGAAGCCATTAAAAACACACGACCAGAGCAAACTGTCAGTGTAATCACACATCGACTCACTGCGTAATACAGATCTGATTCCCAGCCCCGGAAAGCGAGGCCCTGCTTTAAGCAATAGCAAAGTGCCTTCCATCTGTCTGCCTATGCAATCTGCCAGAAGAGAAATGCAGGCAAAGACATTCCCCAGACCTGAAATGCTTTTATCTGTCCTTAGAGAGAAATTTCTTCCAGTCTTTGGATATTAGCACGATCTACACTAGCACGAAGGAGGTAAAAGGCCGCGGGTTGCTTTTCCAGGAGCGGTCGGTAGTGCTAGCGGAAGAAATGTTGATTGAGAACAGAGGGCTGGCTGCACGGCTGCTGCTGTGGCTGCTTCTGCTACCTCTGTCGCTGCTCGGGCGGCAGGCGTGGGGCAGTTGGCTGATCACTGATGCATATCAATAACCATGTACTTGAGATTTCTCATGACATCATCATTACCTTGGTCTCCCGCGGTCTCGAACCTTTGACCTTGCTGGGCTGGCCCACAATTTGGCAGTGAAAGCCCCTCCAATGATGGCCCTTTTCTCCTTCTTTCAGACCGGGGGCAGCAGCACACCAGCAAGACGGCATCTTCTCCTCCCCCCCGCCTAGAAGCCCTGTGAAATCGAGGATCTTCCCCCTAAAACACTCGCATACAAGATGTGTGCAATCAAGCTGCCACCGCTTGGTAAAAAAAAGCTCATGATGCCTAACCCAAAAAGATCAGGAGCCGATCCTTGAATCTGCCGTCACTTTTCTAGAACGGGATTTTTTTTTCCCTTCCTCCTTAACCTGCGCTGGAAATTGCCGTTGGCTTTTTACATCTCTATAGAGGAAGGCGAAAGAGTCTGGCGTGAGAACGAAGCAATTTACAATGCAAATAGAGGCCCGAGAAGGGATGGCTGCTGCTGCGCACTTCTAACCGCGTGCTGCACCTTCATAGCTGGTTTTATTTTCTCGTATTAATAGATGAATTATTGGCTAACGCTGCCGGAGATTACTTGCTGAAAGGGGAAAAAAAAAAGTTCGGAATAAACTCTGAAGGCCACAGATCTTATTTGGATGTTTTAGCCCCACATACACAAACAGAAACCAGGTCATATTTACATAAAAGGAGGAATCCGAAGAAGGGCCGGGGTCCTGGAGGACCGCTCGTCCTGGCAGCCGGGAAGGATGGAGACCTGCCGTCTGGCGAGAGGAAGACAGAGGCCAGTGAGGGAAGCGAGTTGTTATCTTTGGTTATCTAGCTGTATGAGTGTATTGGTCTTCATAAAGCTAGATAACCGAAAGTAAAAACTCCTTCAAGATCGCCGGGCAGCGTGGGAATGAAAGACTACAACCAAGAGACAGTAAAAACCAGAAAGGTCAGGAATACTTATTGAATCTAACTTTGTTTTTGTTTTGGTTTTTCCGTAAGAGTGAAAGGTGGGATTCGAGGAGATTAAGCGACACAAGATGCTGAAATTTTTAAAAAGTGCCAGGCTTTGGGGGGAAAGGTCCTTAGAGCTGTAAAGACTTGGGTTGTGCTCCTGAGTAAAGATGCATGTACCATTTGTTCTGTTTTAAGGCCAAAGTTTATATAGGAGGGATTTTTTTCTTCTTCTTAGAAAGCTTTTGTAGAGATGTTGACAACTGGTTTAAAAATGAGTCCATGATTATGTAGACTTGGGCAGTTCCCTTCTGAGGCCCCTCCCCCCAGATCTGAAGCTTGTGCTTGGAAACTACTTGAAATGTATTTGGGCTGAATGTCAAATTCTATGAAATTAGACTTTCAGAAAAGTTTATCCTGCAAAGTTAATAATTTATATCTACTGAGGACTTAGCACTAGCAGGGAAAATGAAAAAAAAAAAAAAAAAAAAACCAGCAAAGGCTGATTTTGATTCTTCTATTCAAAATGCAAGGACAGATGCTTCTCTGTTCCAAGAGGGTTTCCTTGAGGAAGCTACTGAAGCAGAAAGACATGATGGAGACGAGATCGCCTCCCCTCTTGTCAAAGTGTTAAAAAAATGTTCTGTCTTACTCTGCGCCTAGCATTGGAAATGAAAGTGACATTTACGCCACAACCCACGTGGGCGCCTCCTCTCTTTTTGTTTAAGGATGATCAGGTCTATCCAGGAAACAGCTCTGGCATCCCAAACTGAAATAATTAGGACGTATATAGACCTGACAAAAATAGAAAGGGGGTGGGGAATCAGAGGGTCTGTCTTGCCTAATTGATTCCGCTAAACGGAACGCAGGAGATGTGAACGGCGGGACGCTCTGATTCCCACGCTCGGGGGCAAGTGGTAAAGCGGCCGGCAGCCTATGACGGACAGCCCTGTTGGGGGGCAGGGTATGAAAAAAACATCAAGTGCACACACCATACTCATCTCCATCGCTTAAGAAGGTAAAGGCATTTCCCACCCACAGCCATCTGCAGCCTCCCAAATGGCAGCGCCAACTGGTCTGTTAGCTGCTGCTTGCTGTGCGTTTCTTTTTTTTTTTTTTTTTTTTTTTTTTTTTTGCACCGCTGTTTAATCTGCTGGCCGTGATGAAGTTTGGCTTCTGAAGCTTGGTTGAGATTTTCAATATGTAAGGAGACCTCGTAGAAAGTGATTCCAAGAAAGTGCCATCACTGCCTGGCCCCGGGTGACATCCTAGGAATGTCCTCAGGGCCTGCTGACTACCCTCTCCGTTTTTATTTTGGCTGGGTTCTACTTTCAAGTACACAGCTCCTTGCCACAGTCACTGCTATGACTTCATCAGCTTGTTTACCTCTTAGTGTAAGGCACCTAGGAGCCTGGCTCCAGGGTGCTAATCGATGCCTGTCTGCTAGAAATAAAACTGTAAAGTCATCAGCTCAGGAAAGTGGAGTACAATAACAAGGTGAGAAGAGGTGGTTTTGGAGTAGTCCCAGCTAGATGCATTCCACACGGCCATTTTTTGCTTCATTTAAAGATTACTATGCCTGGCATAAACTTTGGGGTTTTGGAGGTCCCCACTGCAATCCTTCCCTGAGAAGTCCTTCCGTTAGGCCACATCACCAAGCCAACGTGCGTATGGGCATTTACACATAAATACAACCACGGAGAAATGACCAAAATAGCCTGTTAACATCCACATGGCCTAGATTCCTGACACTCCCAAGTAGTATACCATGCTTCAAAGGCAGTCCACTTTCCTTTGTAGCTTCAGCTCCTTGTGAGCCTTCAGACTGGAAAAGCCAGTAAAACCACTGCTAGTTACACTTAGAAGCTCAGAGAGACTTCAATGAGGTAGATTCTCGATTTGGCTTCTGAACACGTGCCAAAGTTTTACTACCTCAGTGACCGTTGAGAAGACCCTTGTTTGTTTACATTTGGAGCCCTGTTTGTGCAAACAACCTTTCGTTGTTAAGTGCCTGTATTCCTTTCATTTGTTTCGTGTCCAGGGGTGCTATTTACCTAGAACCATTGTCTACTACAATTAACATTTACATTACAAAGTGTGTGGTTTTTCTTTCTCAAGGAGGTTCAATTAAGGCAATAAGATGTTTGCTGGGGAAACCTATTGTTTACTGAAAGCCCTCAATGGAGTCAAATTACTGAAGCTTTTTTGCCTACATCTTGGTCTTTTCTGTAAATATGTTAACTATAACATCTAAGGAAAATAAACAATATTATAATTCCGTGTTTGCCATTGTCATACCAAACTTGCTTTGTACCATACTAATGTTGCATAACTTATCAATCAATAAAAATACATTTCAATGTTCTTTTCATTTTATTTTTTGCTCTTGCTGCAACATGTCCCAATTTTTTCTTTTTTCGATTACACATCAAACTCCTGACATTTTGTTTTATTTGTGTGTGTTGAAGAGTTACCGTATCTGAGCATGGGGCTGCAGGGTGCCGAGATAATCTCTACAATGACCTTATAATAAGGTGATATTTCTCTGAAATCTGAAATATTCCAAAGGCATGTACATTTAAGTCAAAAGAAGTGTAAATATCAGTTAAGTAGTTCTTTGAAAGCTAGTTTTTAACATTGGCAGAAACCGGATCAAGTTTATTTAGCATACCACTGCATTGTAAAACAGTTGGAGTGAAGTTGCAGGTTGCGTGAGCATGCATGTTAACTACTGGGAACCAAGTGCAGTCTTTGTGAAAGGGAGCAGCAGATTGCTGTGCAAGGCCAATGTTAAAAAGGCAGCTGAATTTAACACCATCTGGAAGAAAAGATCCCTTCACGACTTTCTCACACCGTCAGACAAAACTAGTGTCTCTTGTTCTTAGCCCTTGTCTATGCAACCATACAATACTGAGTCATTATACTTTTGCTGAGAGAAAATTTGAGAACACAATATGGGTAACCAGTGAATGACCAAGTTTCATTGTGCACGCTTAAGTCGATTGAAATCTACGTCTAGAGCTATGAATGGCAGTATTGTTTTCCTCACCAGGGCTGTACTAAATGTCAGCACAGTGTAAAGAAAAACTTGAAGTCTGCAAATAACTTACCAGATCTCAATTATAATATTTTCCCACACTAGAACTAATATCATTACGAGGGGGCTACATTGCAGAAAATACAAAAAAAAGAAAAAAAAAAGCAACGAAAAGAAATAAGAGACTTCATTAAGAAGTTATTTTATTCAGACAAACATTTTAATTTTCTGATGGGAGCTTCAATTCAGGCTGCAGGCTGAGTGGAGGACTGAGATTCATTACTTGGAAGTTCAAGTTACAGAAATGCTCCTTGTGCAATTAAAATAGAATAAACCAAACACCTCCTTCTACCTGAAACCCTCTCTTATTATATATCAGCAGTCTCCACTTGGGTTTTATTGCTACAGTTCTGCTTGGAGTTGTTGGTGAGGATCTAGTTTAAATTTGCTTTAAATTTGGGCACACGGCTCCCTGCAAGTTTGGCACTGTGATTGACATTCTAAAAGAACACCATAGGCGTACATTTCCAAAAATATACAAGAACCTTCTGGCACCTCCCTGGGTGGATTCTAGGGCCCTCAGAAATATGCTTTCCCTTTATGCTACCCCCCTCCCTGCATTTTCTACCTTTCTTTTCCCTCTCATGACATGTACAAATCAGTTATCTTTGGGGTTAACAGTCACATAATCTATTTGACTGTAAACAGTCAGAAATAGGAAACAAAACAGTTCAAGAAGAGTAAAAGGAGTTGGTTGTGTGTACGTTTTATTAGGATGTCTATTTTAAATATAATTGACTTTGCAATTTTGTTATCGTGTCACCAAGTGTCGCATAGTTCTTAACATGTAAGTGCAAAACAATGAGTAATTGCTGTTTTGCTGAATAATACATTTGAGTTGCCAACGTCAAAGGTATTATTTTGTGTATTTCTAAACAGGAACGTTAACTGCAGGTTTTGACATCTAGAATCTTTTCTTGAAATACTTATAAAAAGATGATGAAATGATACATTTAAAAGTAAATATAAAGGTTCTACCAACTTATTTTCCTTGTCCTACTTTGTGATACTGGAAAATTAACAGTGAAGTCACTTAATAATCAAATTTGAAAAAACATACCATAAACACTGTCAGAAAAAAATCCAAAAGAAAAATAAAAATGGAAACTAGATAGAGGTTAAAAAAATACATGGGGAGACTTCTGCAATATCTTTGCAGAATGCCAATGGGCATATTTACCAGTATGTGTCCCCTACTGAAGTTACCACTCATATGCATAATAATGAGATAAAGGCATTATTTATATTCAAAATGGAATATTTTCCAAAGTGGCTTTTCTTTAAGTCTTCTTAAACACTAAATTTTGTGCCACTGGTGCTCTTTG